TGCAATCAGGGGCACCTGCTTCATGAGTCAATGGGCCCAAATTACGGGGGCCGAGGCGGACGCCCCACCAAGAACAAGGAACACAAAACAAAAGGGCTCTGTGCTTCAAGCCGTGGGTGGGAATTACGAAAGGTTAAGAGACTAAATATAAAAACCCTGCTGAATATAAAATCAGCGTGCTTTGTTGCTGAAATCTGGGTGCTGTAATTTATCCAGAACAGGGTTTGGAATATCTGGCAACAGTTCACGTCTAGGAAATCGTCTCTCCTCCCCAACAAAATGAAAGGCGTCTATTGCAAAGTTAAAGACAATTGAGCAGCTGAGATAGTTCATATCAACAGAAGAGTGAAAGACTGCATTTTGCAATGACATATTACTGACATTAGTCCCCTGGAAAGAGAAAATGCTTCTCTCTTCATTTCCTTATTTATATGAGTGGAAATCAAGTTTTTGCAAGGTTCCTTTTCTTAATTGCTGAGTCCAGCCGGGCCAGGGCCAGTGATGCCCATAGTGGCTCAGTTTTCTTAATTGCTGAGTCCCAGCCGGGCCAGGTGTGGGCCAGGGTGGGCATCCAGAGCAGCCCGGTCCACCTGAGGGCCAGCGGGTGCTGGGCAAACCCCAGGGGTGTATCTCTGCAGGTAGGGGCTTGAAGGTCCGGGCAGTGGACAAGGCTGTGGGGGCAGGGTTGCACGTGCCACTGGGGAACCCAGGGGCCTGGACCAGCAGGCGGGTCCCCCCTTCACGCACAGTGGTGCCTAGCTCCACGGCACAGCCACTGTGTCACACCCCAGGCAGGGAGAGTCCTGCAAACGTATGTGGCCATGTTCTTGCAGTCCAGAGATGGAGGGTGAGCTGGGGCCCTGCTGCTCCCGCCCCGGGTTGTTGGCACCGGGCTCCAGGAACATGCTGAAACCACCACCGTGCTGTGAAACGCACGCACGCGGCCCCTGCTCTGCCTTCTCCCAGGCCTCACTGGGGCAGAGTCCTCTCCTGGGGCTGATGCCCTTCCCCGTCTCCTCCCCGGGCGCCGAACTCCTGGCCACAGAGAACAGAAACCCCATGGCCCCGAGTGAGTGCATCCAGGGCTGTGGAGAAGAGCTGGCAGGTCACTCGTCCTCCAGGGCACATGTGGCAGGTGGGGCCGGGGAGCAGCATGTCCCCACCGAGGCCCACTGCACCCACCTGGCACCAGCCCCACCTGGCCAAGGCCAGGCTGGCCTCAGGCGCTGCGTGAGCTCCATGTCAGGCCCCTAGCGCCTGCGTTCCTGGAGCTGTGCCCTGGATGATCACACACAGCCGCCTCCCACACGCCCGGCTCTGACAGAGCAAGCAGCCTGCTCACCAGCAGCCTGGGCTCTGACTGCTGAACCCGCAGCCCACAGCTGGCCTTACAGTCCTGTGGCCCGCACCGCAGGGCAGCCTCAGTTACAGATTCTCCTGGGGCTCATCTTGCAGAGGCGGCTGGACACTGCCACATTCTTCTGTGCATCTAGCAGTGCCCAGGAGGTATAAGTCCATGGCTGGATGTCTATTCGGTTAAGGGCCTTCCTTCCCTTCTTCTCCGATAACCGAGCCTCATCTTTCTTGGCACATTGTATTTCTTCATGTGGCCTGGTGTGGTTGTGGCCATGTAACCAAGTTCTGCAACTTCTGCTTCTCCCTTCCTGCCAGCTGGAACAGAGCCTCCTGGCTGGAGCTTGTGCAGCCACTTAGGGCCATGAGGTGGTACATAAAGATGACAGCAGCAGAACAGGAAACAGAAACTGGAGTCCCCTGTGTTGGGGAGGGGCCTCACTCTCCCTCTGGTCACCACTGTGCTGCAAGCACACAGCTTGCCCATACTGAAGACAAATTCAGCAAGTGTTCATGCCCCTCCATTCCGCCTCCAGATCAGCTGCAGGGAGAGGTGGCCAGTGGGTACAAACACCCTGAGGCCTGGCCATGCTGCGGCCTGATGAGGTCACAGAAGGACCCGGGCCTTCCGCACCTGCCCTCGATCCCTGCGGGAGAGCCACCTAGGTGGCTCCACGGGCTGGCCCTGCTGGGGTCTGCCAGCCCCTGGGTCTCAGCCTCGCACGATCCCCGGGACCTGAGCTGCTGGGGCTGTCGTCCCTGTCCTGCTCTGGAACTCTGGCCGATGGCAGTGGCTGAGCGGCCACCTCCCAAGACACCCAAGCACACGGGCAAGAGCCTGCTCGTCCGGAGCCCAAGGCACCTGGCCTTCACCCCGGGAGGCACAGAGGCTGGCCGGACTCGCCAGGCAGGACCACAGACGTAGGACTCCCAGGCTGTTGGCAAAGGCGCGGCAAGGAGGAGGGTGCCCCACAGGGCCCCCACACCCCAGTGTGCTCCCTGGGGCAGAGGTGAGTCTGCAAGGGACGATTCCTGGCTTCTCTCTTTCAGGTAGTGGACACACACCTGCTCTAGTGACCCCTGCTGGCTGGTTGCAAGGCCTTGCCTGGTGCTGGAGTCTCCAATGGGGTGGGGCTCAGACCCCCTGGAACGGGGCTCCCGGCCCCCACACCAGCTGGAGCCCTGCCGACTCACACCTCCTTCCCGCTGGCCAAGGAAGGTCCAGTGTTGGGGGGACGGGGCTGGGTGCGCAGCAGAGGGCTCCTCCCTGGGCCGTCACAGCAGGCTTCCTGGCACAGGGCCGCCAACCTCTCTTCTGCTGAAGCCGTGCCAGCTCCAGGCTCCCTCTTGCCCACGGTGGGCACTGTCCTCAGCAGGACGGACTGAGCTTGGCCGGGCCTTCATCCTCTTTTTGCAGGATGCCTGAGGAGGAGACCACCTGCTCCAGGGTGGGTGGGGTGCGGGAGCTGGGGTGGCTGGCCCACCCTGGCCAGCACCCTGCCCGGTGAACAGCGGGCGGCAGAACGCCCCAGGGGTCCTCGGCAGCGGGTGCAGGACCTTCGGTAGGACTTTCAGTGGGAGGAAGAAACCGGAGAGGCTTATTTTGAATGCTCCCTGGACTGAGTCTGTCCTCTGTGGGGTCACAGAAGGGAGACAAACACAGCGGGCGGAGGACGCCTGGTTCTGCCACGTCCCGCCAGCCTGGGCCGCGCGGACCTGTCTGCTCAGGTGTGCTCGGGCTCCGTCCAGGGCCCCGGGGCTGGCTGGTGGGCCAGTTGCCATGGTGACCAGCCCTCCTGGGGTCTGGTGGGAGGCTGAGGGATGGGCTCCGTGGTGCACAGCTTCCTGTGGGTCCAGGACCACCTGCCCCTTCCGGATCCCACCCCAGCGGCCGCCACCAAGAGATGGACCAAGTGAAGATGCCCACCCAGCAGGCCGTGGAGGCCGGGCTAGGACAGTGGTCCTGCTGTGTGGGGCGACCAGCCCTCTTCCTGGAAGGAAAAGTGGAACTGGCAGAGAGCCCCCTCCCGCCCCGGGCCCCTCCTAGGCAAGGGGGGGACCAGCAGGTCGGCCCGCAGACAGCCTGGGCGGCGGGTGGCTCTGCCCTGCCACATGGGGGGCTGTGGCCCTCATTTGACAGAAGAGGAAACCGAGGACGGAGGCTCGGCTGGAGGCCGCGGGGGGCCTAGTTCCGGATGTGCCGTGTGGGGGCTGAGCAGAGCCACCCCAGGGGCTGAGAGAAGGGTGCCCAGGTCCCCAGCTCCCTCCGGCCCGCAGCTGTCACCCACGCACACCCTGGTGTCCTGGGAAGCCTGAGTCCCCCGAGAGGGAGTCACTGCTCCGGACCACGCCTGGGGTGGCCGTGGGGCGGGCCCCAGGGCCAGCTCACAGGTCACACACACAGAAGAACCATGACCATCCGCTGAGCCATGGCTGTGTTCCGGGGCCTGGATTCCATCGCGCCCTTGGAACCGAGTCTCTAGGAGCGGAAGGCGTGGCGCCAGGGAGCATCTCTACACTGAACTGTGAGAGCGATTCTGCCGGAGCTGAGATGGCTTCCAGAACTGAGGAGGAGGCCGACGGGGGACACGGCCAGGTCCCGCCTGTCCTCAGAACCCGCAGCCTGCCGCGGCCAGCCAACTTGCCTTCCCCGGATGCTGGGGTCCAGCTGTCCCTGCGGCCTGCAGCCCCCATGAAGATGGAGCCCAAGGCCGGCCTCCCTCCTCATGCTCTTGGATGGAAAGCCGTCCAGCCACCGGCAAGGACAGATCCCCCGCCACAGGGCCTCAGAGGCCGCAGGTGTCCGGAGGCTCAGGTGCCCCTCCTGGGCGGCAGCAGAGCCAGGGACCAGCCTCTGCACACCGCTAGGGAGAGAGCACCCTGAGGAGGGTCTGCGTGCAGAGCGGGGGCCGCAGGCGGGACACGGCTGGGCAGGGTGGGGACCTGGGTCTCGGAGGGTCTGGGCCACCTGGGGAAAAGGGGAGCCCTGCCAGGGAGAGGCCCTGCCCATGTCTGCCGGAGGGTCCGGGCACAGCGGCAGGGGGCAGCAGGGGGCAGCGCTCCCCACCCGGCCGTTAGCCCCTGGAAGGGGTCTGCTTGTCTCCTGTGTAAGATGACGTGTGAGGTGTCCCCCAAAGCTCCTGGGAGACACAGGGCAAGGGTCAGAGGTGAGATGCCTGGGTTCTGAGAGCCTTCACTCCATCAGCAGTGGGTCCACCTGAATGATCTGCCGGAGGAGACTGGAGGTGGGTGGCTGGAGGAGGCCGGGCCCAGGGGCGAGCCGTGGGCTTCACACGTCCCTGGAGAGCAGAGCTCTGGCTCCTCCTGAGGCCTGTCCTGAGCTGCCTTGCTCCTCCACGCCCCGCCCCATGGCCTTTGGCCTCCCCTCGGCCCAGAGCATGGAGAGGCCTGGATCCAGACCTCGCAGACCCTGAGCCCCACGCGCACTCCCCATCCTCCAGAACTGCTCCTGGTCACAGCAGTGAGAACTCTGAGGCCAGCTCAGGCCGGAGCCCCGTCCCCAGACCCTCTGTGCCCCAGTCCCTGGGGGGCTTTGCTCGCCTGCCCCGATTCCGGGCACCTGTCTGGCCACATGCCCCTCACTGCTGGCAGCGCCAGGCCAATCAGTTGCTATGTTGACCACTCACCAGCCAGGCCACTGGGGGTGTCCCCTTGGTCTCCCTCCGGGAGTGGTGACTCATCTCCGGCACTTTCCTGGGCAGCCTTGGGCTCCGGGCCCCGCCAGGTGGGGGTGGACAAGGGATAGGAGATGCACTGGAACCCACTGGGAAGGGAACACCAAGGTCAGGCCTGAGGGTCAGGGCCGGAGGCCCGTACAGGGGAGGCCTGTGGCCTGGCCCTACCCCGGGTATTGGCTGACGCTTGGAGTCCAGGAGCACCATCCAGGCACCCTTGGGGGGCTGTGTGGGTCACCCCAAGATGCCTGCTGGGGAGGGACCGACTAAGGCCAGAGAGAAGGGCCAGCCAGTGCCCTGCGGTCCCCTCCCCGAGGCCTGCCAGCCCTCCATGCTACTTAGTTGTGCTTCCTCTTGGCCACCCCCTGTGCCTTTATGTCCACCCTCCCAAGTCTGCTGCGGCACAGGTCACATCCTGCCTTGGTCCTGGCCCCGGGGAACATGTGGGTGGCCCCCTCCAGTCCGACTCCTCCTCTGCCTTTCCAACCCCAGTGAGAGGCGTCACCTGGTGTCACCGTCACTCACAAGGGCGTCTGCATGGGCGTCTCTTGGTGGTCTTCATCCACTTTGAAAAAGCTGACCTCGGAATAGGTTGGGAGCTGCACGTATCTGATGCCGGCGGAGATCCTCAGGACCCGGCCACTCTCACCTTCCAGGAGAGAAGTTGGGGAGCAAGGCCCTAGACGGCGGCCCCGGAGGGATGTGGACAAGGGCGCAGCCGGACCCCACCCCGGGGGGCTGCGTGGTGGGCCTGCCACACCCCATTTTCAACTCAGCATGACCACCTTCAGCTTGGGTGGCCTCCCCTGGGTCTGTCCTGCAGCGGTCTCCTGGCCCTGGAACAAGCTCAGGTTCAGTTACAGGAGTGCAGACGGCGGGCTCCAAGGAGGCAGAGTTTACCACGTCTGGCACCCAGTCAAAGCCACCGGGTACGCAAAGAATGCAGGAGAATGTGGCCCGTAAGGAGGAGGAAAATAGATTGGGGGCTGGGGCTGGGGCTCAGTGGTGGACTCTCGCCTGGCCTGTGTGGGGCACTGGGTTCGTGCTCAGCACCACATATAAATAAACAGAATAAAGGCCTATCGACAGCCACAGGGAAAGATTAAAGATCTTAAAAAGAATAGAGAAGTAGGTTGAAGCCGACCTGGAAGCGACCGGTGCTCAGCAGCCAGGACACAGGAAGGTGGGCGTCGCGCTGGGCTTGAGGGCTCAGCCTGAAGCAGAAGGTGGACCGAGGGCAGCTGGGCTTCTGGGCTGAGCACGGCGACGCGAGGGGCGAGAAACACGGACTCTGACCCGACGACGCCGAGGACAGGTCCCCGGGGCTCGGAAACAGAGCAGAGGAAGAGAGGGAAAGAGGAAGGGGCCGCAGACAGCTCGCCCCTTGGTGCACGAGAGGCTGCCGCAGCAGAACCCGGAGAGGAACGGCGGCCGGGAGCTTCCAAATCTGATGAAAACTATGAACTCACAGGTGTGAGGAGCTCAGCAAAACCCCAAGCGCAAGAGGCACAAGGAACCGTCGCCCGTCACACCACGACCAGGCTGCCCGAGTGCCTGGCCACGGGCACAGGCCAGGAGACCTCTCCTGGGGACCGGCCAACTGGGGAGCAGTGGAGCAAGGCCTCAGCCCCCTGTGGGCTTGTGCCCGCCAACGCAGCTAGAGATTGGAGGGTGGAATCCAGACGTCTGCAGACACAGAGATGCTGAGGGAATTCACCAGCAGCACCTCCACCAGGAGGGATGGCGGAGCGAGTCGTCTGGGCCGACAGGAAGGAGCCGGAGGACCAGACGTAGGAGGTAGGTGTGTAGACGAGATTTTTTTCTCTATCTATGAAATACTATTGAAAAATAGGTGGATGGGTGCTGTGGCACATGCTGGGATCCCAGCAACTTGGGAGGCTGAGGCAGGAGGATTGTTAAGTTCGACACCAGCCTCAGCAACTTCGTGAGGCCCTGAGCAACTTCGGGAGACCTTGTCTCAGAATGCAAACTACAAAGAGCTGGGAATGTGGCTCAGCGGCCAGGCCCCCTGGGTTCAATCCTCGCTACACAAAAATCACACCAGCGGGGCCGGGGTTGTGGCTCCGTGACAGCTCACTCATCTGACACGTGTGAAGCACTGGGTTCAAACCTCAGCCCCACATAAAAATAAATAAATGAAGGTATTGTGTCCACCTACAATCAAAAGAACATGAAAAAATAACGCCATTACGTCATGGAGCTTATTATACGTGTGGATGTAAAAAATGTATGAACATATTAGCATAAAGCTTGGGATGGAGGAAATGGAGACTGTCACACAGTTCTGAGTGTGACTGGAACGAAAGCACATCACATGAGGTGACTGTGGTAAGTTAAAACACTCGTGTCACCTGAGAGCAACCCTCGAGTAACAGAGCAACAGTCCCAGGGAAGGAGCGTCAGAGAAGGCACAGAGCAGTGTACAAAACTCAGCTCAAAACAGACACAAGGGTAGACACCTGGGCCAGCGAGAAGCAGCAAAGGGTGAACTTGAATCCACTACCTCAACGATCCCAATAAACATGAAAGGCGTAAAACTCCAGTTAAAAGGCAGAGACTGTTAGAGACGGAATCCAAGGCAAGACCCAGCGGGCTTCTGAGTTCTCACGGTGGAGGTGAGACCCATGGGCCCAAAGGAGAGGGCGGGTCGAGAGCCCAGGTTAGATGGTTGAAGGGGGGAAGGTCGCTGTCCTGATGTCACAGGAAGTGGGCGTCAGACCCGGCCAGGGGTGAAGAATCAGAAGACCTGAAACCTGAAGCATTCATGCGCCACAACAGCTTCAAAGTACAGAGGCAGAAACGGACAGATCGTAACGAGGGTCAGAGATGTCGATATGTCACTTTCAGCATTTGACAGAAACAAGCAGACCAAAGACCAGCCAGGGTACACCAAACTCAAATGCCAGCACGGGATCAGTGTCCTTTACACAAAATGCTGGGGACCAGAAATGTTCCAGGTTGGGGAGTTTCTCAGATTTTTGGAAATTTTGCAAGGACTTTATCTGATGGACATCCCTAATGCAAAAAAAAAAAAAATCCCAAATCTGAAATGCTCTAAAATCTAAAACATTGGCCCTCAAAAAGTTTTGGATTTTAGATTTTAGATTTTTGGACTAGGAATGCTCAGTCTATAAAAACAAGATTGACCTGACTGACATTCATATAATACTCCATCCAACAAAAGAATGCACATTCTTTTCAAGTACACACAGAACATTTACCGAAGTAGACCCATAAAAATTCTCATTTAAACTTGAAAGAAATCGATAAATACAAAGTATAGCTCTAACCATATGGAATTAAGTTAGAATTCAATAGCAGAAAGAGCTCTATATTTGGAACTGAAACAACACACTTGTAAATAACTCATGGATGAAAAAAAGAAATTAAAAAGGAAACCAGAAAGTATTTTGAACTGAATGAAAATGAAGATACTACATCTCAAACTTTGCAGGATGCAGCTACAGCAGTATTCGGGGGAAATTCATAGCAATAAACCTTTATATTATAAAAGCAAGGTCTGAAATGAATGACCTTAACTTTCACCTTAAGAAACTAGAAAAAAAGAGAGCAAATTAAATCTACAGTGAGCAGAAACAAGGAACTGAGGCTGGCCTGGGACACCTGTAATATCAACGACCAGGGAGGCTGAGGCAGGAGGATGGCAAATACGAGGCCAGCCTGGTCAACTTAGCAATCCTCTGTCTCCAAAAAAAAAAAATGGCTGAGGATGTGACTCAGTGGTAAAGCACCCTGGGTCCAGTCCCCAGTACTACAAGAAAACAGACAACTTTTGTGTTTCAAAGGGTACCATCAAGAACTGCAAGATGGCCCATAAAATGGGGAAAAGTGTTTTCAAAGCAGGTGTCTGATGGGGACTTAAACCTCTACATGTAAAGAACTCTTAAAAATACACAAGGACGGGGCTGGGGACATGGCTCAGGTGGTAGAGGGCTTGCCTTGCATGCACAAGGCCCTAGGTTCCGTCCCCAGCATAACCACCAAAAAAAAAAAAAAAAAAAAAAGGATCTGAATAGACATTTCTCCAAAGGAGATCCAGCAGCAGAGAGCTCAGCACGGCACCCTCAGGTCCCGACTGCACGGTTCCATGGATCTGGAGACTCGTGAGGAGCCCTCAGAGAGACCAGCACTGATAACTGAGTGCAACCAGGCCGAAGCATGCGGGATCCACACACAAAACCCACCTGAAGCCAGCATTTGAAATGGAGTTAAGGCCATCCCCTTCACAACAGCACAAAAAGAATGAATCAGATTCACGAGTGACCATCAATAATCACACTGATCACATAATTTAATCAGGCATCTAATCATAAACTTCAAATTATTAATGATTCCTTTAACAAGAGGCACCAGACTCGTGCGTGCAGGACGTCAAACGCTGGGAGAGAAAGCAGGGCTCCGACCACGCGAGGAGGAGCCACGGGGAAGGCGGCCCACCCCGGAGGCAGCCCCATCCCCAGTGGAGTCCAGCAGACAGCAACAGGTCAACCCTCAAGTTCATGTGGAAACAGGAAGGCCCAGAAAAGCCAAAACCATGTTGAAAAGTAAAACAAGGTTGGAGATGTCTCCAGTTCCTAAGGCCACGGTGATCGAGATGGAGTGTCCTGGCAGAGCCAGGGTTTACCTTCTGAGGGTGGACACACAGCCCAGTGCCACAGATCCGAGTCCAGGCCGGCGCCTTCACCCTTGGGGTGAACGATTTCCCGTTCAACGGGGGAAAGGATAGTCTCTTCAACAAATGGTGCTGGGAGATGGATTCAGAGCTCAATTTCATCCAGAGAAAATAGGTGAAGATGGATCACAGACCTAAATATCAGAGCTCAAACCATAAAACTTCTAGAGGAAAACGGGGAGATCTTTGTGCACTTGGTGAGTAGAGAACCCTTAGTCATGGGACCCGAAGTCTGGCAGGTTGGGCTTTACCGAGATGGAGAACTTTGTGAAGGAGAGAGACAGCCTTTAGAGAGTGGAAGAGCGCCCAGCGGGAGGCGTTTTCAATGGCGCATCTGTCTTCTTTCGCACCCCAAGAACTCGAGGTCAAAAGTAAGAGCACACTCAGTGCGGATTTTTAAAGTGGGTAAAGCGTTTGGACAGACGCTTCTCCAGAGAAGATACACGGACGGCCCACGAACCCAGGAAGAGCCGCCCAGCAGCCCCAGCCAGGGACACGCAGGCCCCAGCTGCGAGGAGCCAGCACTGGAGACTTGGCTGCAACCCGGCAGAGCACGCCAGGCTGGAGGAGCAGCAGCCGGAGGGAGGGCCGGCACGCAGGAGGGATGCAGACGTGCCCGTTCTGGGAATAATGGACACTTTCTTGAAGTTGGACTGTGAGTCCACTGCATGGCCCAGTGGTCCCACTCAGGAGAGCCAAAGGCAAGTTTTTCAATAAGGACTTGTGCCCAGTGTCCACAGTGGCACCGTCCACAAGAGGCCAAATGTCCACAGTGGGTGCCACTCTGAGAGGAAGGAGGGCCCTGATGACGTGGCCAAATGCAGGAGGCTGACATCGTGCAGGAGAGAGGACGGAGCTGAGCCACAGGCAGCGAGCTCCCATTCACATGAAGTGTCCAGGAAAGGACAGTCTGCAGAGTCTGAGGACGGCTAGGGCTGGCTAGGGGCGGGTGTGGGGCAGGGCTGCGAGCGGGGGTCTTTCCAGGGGAGGCAGATGTGCTGAGAGAGTCATGCTGTGCTGGTCGCTGCCCAGACCTGAGGGCTCGGCACAGGTTTGTCTCATGGCGTGAAAACGATGCCTGCCCGAGGCTGTTAAGCAGACCGGCTGGCCATGACTGAGGTGTCCGCCACGCCCAGGAGGGGCGTCCTAAATGCAGCCTGCTGGGCCAAGGGCTTTGGGAAGTTGGCGGGCCCATCCCTCACAGCAGGAGGGGCTGAGCTCCTGACAAAGGCCCTCATCCTCCTTGACCACCCCAGGGGTGGACTCAGCCAGACCCACAGCGTCTCTTCCCTCTTCCGTGTTCTGTAAGATGCGCGCTGACCTTGGGCAGCAGCCCACACGCAAGCCAGACACGGACTCTGGCGCGCACACCCAGAAACCAGGCTGCCCACCAGTGGGAGGGCGGCCAGCTACGCTCCTTCCGCTGGGTCTGGGCCACCGGCTTTGGCACACCAGCACGGGTGCCAGGAAGCCCCGGAGGCCTCTTTCCTGGGCGTCTGCTGCCCAAGAACCCCACCCCGGGCCTCTGCCCTTGGGAGAGGCGCCATCATCCCCTGGTGGAGCTTACTCTTGGCAAGGTCCCCGTGGGCCTGCTGCAGCTGGACCCGCAGTGTGAAGGGGGCTCCTTGGGCCACTTCCAGCACCTCTGGACCCAGAATGACGATCCTCGTGGCTTGTTCTGGGAGAGGGCAGAGGACAGCGTCAGCGGCTGGGAGGGTCGACCCCTGCAGCTCCAGCCCTCTCCTGCCCGTCGGAGGAGCTGTCCGGAAGACAGTGTCATGTGACATCAAGCCCGAGTGAGGAGCCCAGCTGGGGCGCAGGGTCGCCGGGGGCTGAGGCCACCCAGGTCCCGCCAGGAGCAACAGGGGAGCAGGAATCGTGGCCCAGGGAGGTGGCCAGCCCCTCTGTAGGCCATAGGCCACTGTGTGGTCACTTCAGAGTGTACAGCGTCAGGGGAGTCAGACTGAGGCTACTGGGGGGCAGTGCAGCATGACCAGGCCACTCCAGATGCCTGTGGCTGGGAGGTCCCTGGGTGGGGGTGTTGTGAGGGGGTCTGCGGCTGGGAGGCCCTGCTGCAGCAGGACCCTGCATGTCCACAGCCCTGTGGACATCAAACCACCACATGCTTCTCCTAACGGGGAAGGGACTTTGGGTTCCATCTCATCCCAGGCCTTGCCCAATGTGCTTGAGGCCCAGTGTCTCCAGTGGGACTTCCCAGGGCCACCTGAGAACGAGGCCAACCCCACAGGCCAACAGGAAGGCCAGGGACACCTACCCACTGGGTGGCCGTTGATCCACAGGCCACAGTAAGTGACTCCTGAGTAGTGGGCCAGGCTGCCCAGCCCACTGAAGACATCACTGTGCCACTGTCCCTGCAGAGAGGACAGAATGGCCTTAGAGGTCAGTTCCACAGGGGCCCAGTGCTTTCCTGAGTGGAGGCCATTCTGCTGGGGTGCCGGCCAGCTTGCTTGGTCAAGGGTCTCTCCTTCGGCTTTAACACGCGGGGAGAACAAGCTCACAGCACCCCAGAGACTGGTCAGAGACAGCCTTGTGTCCATCACAGAGACCCGCCCCCGCCCAGGGCGCCAGGACGAGGTGCCTGTCAGGCTGCACGCTCCTAAGTGGAAAGGCCATTAAAGCACAGTGACCGCAGGCCCCCTGGGCGGGGCCCGCTCGCGGCATGCCCCCTCCAGCCGCTCCCCAGCAACAGCTGGCCTCCAGTCACACGCACAACGGAGGGTGGAACAGCAACGTGACAGAGCGGGAGAGGCATTTCCACGGAAAATCCCGGGGTGTCGTGTTTGACTGAGTCACCTCTGTAAGGGGAACTGGCCCAGAGCGGCTCCGTTCCAGCCGCTCCGCTGCAGAGGTTAACCGGGCTCCAGGATCCCCGCCCACCCTAGGCCTCAGGCTGCACGGTGGAGGCACGGGCTCTGTGGGCACCGCACTGGCCCTGGGACATGGGCCATGTGGGCCCCGGAGGGAAGGCAGCCCTGAGGGGCGGCAGCAGAACGGGGGTATGGTGGTATGGAACCCTCAGGCCTCGGGGACTGGGAGGCCGAGGATGCCCAGACTGGGGAGAACCAGAGACAAGTGTGGAGAGGGCCTGGGGCCGGCCACATCACAGGGTGGGCAGCTCAGAGCTGACCTCCCCACACAGCCGGCGCCTGCAGACCTCACCCCTTTCTGATCTGGGCAGAGTCGCCCTCCCACGAGCTGCTAAGTCATCCCTATGGGGTCTCGAGGGGCCCCAGGCGGCCCTGTCCCTCCTGCACGGAGCCCGGAGTTCCTAGTCCAGCACGATGGCTCCCGACTCCCACGGGGGCCCACTGGCCGTGCTCCTGGAGTGCCCAGTGCTGAGTGCTGGCCGGTGTCGCCCATGCCCGCCCCAGGGTCGTCCTGGTAGGAGGAGCTGCAACTCACATGGCCTCCGAGCCCCAAGCAGCCCTTTCCCCTCAGTGCAGCCATGGACCTGAGGCCCCAGAGCCAGGCCCACGGAAGAGGAAGGCAGGGCCTGGGGCCGGCTGCCAGGAGTGGGCTCCAGGCTTGCAGTGGCGTGGCCATGTCCTGCCGGAGCCGGCACGCGGGTCCTCACCCTGGCCTGGCCTTCTTGGTCACGTGACTACACTCCCCAGAAAGGGGGCCATGGTCCTCATTTACTGCTCCTCCCTCGTGGCCTCCTGTCCCCTCCTGGCACTGCCGTCCTCACTCCTGTCCCTGGTTTCCTTCGTTCCCGGTCCAGCTCTCCAGAGAGGCGATGATCTAGCACACATGCTGGAGTGGACACTGGGTCTGCAGCGAGGCCTGGGGCAGGCACACCGCCTCCAGACCAAGGCCCTTCAGCCAGCTCCTCAGAGGAGGTGCGGCCACGTATCTGTCCACGGGTGGGTGCCACAGGCAGAGAGGCCAGACGGATGCAGGGCCCCCACCGTGCTGCAGAGAAGCCTACTCGGGCACACAGCTGGGGAGGGTGGTGAGAAGCGCTCCTTGCACGTCTGCCAGGGGCCCTGGCCACTGCGCTCCCTGGGGCCACTCGAGCATGGCCAACGGTGCCCATCATCCATGGTGCATGCCACCGCTGCGGCAGAGGTGACTGTGCCAGGCACTCTGAGCCCTCTCCATGGTTCTGGGGCTTCGGCACAGCACTCGGCTGGTCAGATGGCTAACCTGTGGGCTGGTCCTGGCTGCACAGATGTGAATCCTGCACTCGGACACGCTGCTCTTGCTGGTCCACATGCACCCTAAGAGGGAGCCGTACATGCCAATGTGTCTCATCCTCAGTGTGGAGAGGTTCCTTGCCACACCAGGGACCAGGGGTCCTGGGGCCACCTGGAAGCAGCCCGAGGGGCCAGGTGAGCAAGGCTGGCCTGCACTTGAGAGCCAGGCATGTTCCGGGTCGGTGCCCAGGGCGGGCTGCAACGCACGGCGGCCTCGGCTGGGCCACAAGGCCACTGACCAAGCCCCTGGGGTGGGCCTCGGCTGGGCCAGGGTAGGACAAAAGGCCACTGACTAAGCCCCTGGGGTGGGCCTCGGCTGGGCCAGGGTGGGGCACAAGGCCACCGGCCCAAGCCCCTGGGGTGGGCACCACTGTTCTCCCTCCCCCTAGGTGAGGACAGGGTGCAGTGAGGGGACACAGGAAGGTGCAGGCGATGGCAGGGTCAGCCAGGGAAACCCACACCCAACATAAAGCGAGACTGGGGAACACGGAGACCAAGGCCAAGGAGCGGTGTGCAGGTGGGAGGGGGCCGGGGTCAGCCTCCAAGGCGGCCTCAGGGGAGGGGTGCCAGCCCAGCGCCTTCCCGCCCGGCGGCCACCACCCTGGCACTCCCAGAGGCCTCCGACTCCCGGGGCAGGTGAGTGCAGCCAGGCGGGACGCTCTTTCAGTGATGTCCCCAGACACTCTGACAAGCAATGCCCCGTGGCTTGCAAGCCATGGGCGCCGTCCAGCCACGGGCAGGCTGAGTGTAAATGGACCGTGAGGACAAATGCCCAGCTCCTTCTCAGGCAGTGGTCTTTCTGTGGTAACTAGGGGTGGGCCCAGGGCCCGCTGCTACTGAGCGGCACCCCCAGGGCCTTGCTAGGTTGCTGAGGCTGGCCTTGGACTTGCCAGTCCTTGTGCCCCAGCCTCCAGGTGGTGGGACAGTGGTGTGGCCAACGTGTCGAACTCCGGGAAGCTCCTTCCAGCTCATCGAAGCCGGTTTTCCCTAATTTTAATTAGAAATGACTCTGCAGCTGCCCGGCCTCCTTCCCGCAGCGTGTGCCTGTCCATCCTCGTCAGAGGTCCACCTCTCAGGCTCCTGCCCACCGCAGTCCTCCCTGGGCTCCAGGGACCTGGCTGATGACAGCAGGAAGAGCCTGGCAGGGGTGGGGAGCCACAAGCCTCTGTGCTGCTCTGCTCTGAAGGAACTGTCCCCAGCTGCAGCCAAGCCGCAGACCTGAGCAGGTGAGTGCTGAGCTCACTCCCCGTGGGGACCTCGTGGGCAAGAGCAGCTGGGACCTTCCTCCTGGCCCTGGGGCCCGACGGTGAGATGTGTGCCGCCCCTCAGCCACCAAGGACGGGTGGCCCCTCGCTTCCCAACGAACGGCGGGGTCCACAGGGTGCTGCGCCACCCCGTCCTGGCTGCACCTTCCTGGGACTTCCTGTCAGCGGACCTGCGGTCTTGACGTCACCGATCCCCATGTTCTGTGGGGTTACTGACCTGGCACAGGCTTCGCCCTCAGAGTTCCTGTGGTGACTGTGGCCAGTGGGGAGGGTCCATGCCGAGTGGTTGGCTCCGTAAAAGGCCACGGCTGGGTGTGGATGCTCCAATACCCCCAGTTTTGCCTGGGATCTGTGGGGACCTGTTCTGGGGGTCACTAGCCTGCCTTCGTGGACTTGGCCTTTCTGACCCAAGGACAGGGCACAGGATGTGGGAGGGGCTCTGGGCCCTGTCCTTCGGCCCCTGGGTCTCTCTGGAGCAGCGTTCCCACAGATCCCAGGTGAGGAGAGGGGGGCTGGAGACGGCTGCAAGTGAAGGTACCCGTAGGCCGGCCATCTGTTCCCCGAGGAAGACCAGCCAGTCTCCTGGAGCCATCTCTTCTGTCTGGAACCACAGACAGACACCGCGCTTCACCAAACCAAAGGTGCCCCCCCAAGACCCCGCTCCCCCGGTGCACTGCTCTGGGCTCCACCAGGGCTCCCCGAGTGTTGCTGCCCTCCAGGGGCCACCCTGTGCCTTGGGGCGCCACCAGGCCTCCCTGGGTCACCTGCCCGTGAAGATGTCCTCTGGGGGTCTCTGCGCTCCTCAGGTCTGGGTCTGACCTCTGTACAAGCCAGGACAACCGGGGCTACTGTGAGAAAGGGCTGGGGCCAAGCCTGGAGGGCTGAGAGGCCTCGCCCAGAGTGGAAGGATGAGGGAGGGGACTGGCTGCTCTCCAGTCTTTTCAGAAAACAAAGCTGCACCTGAAATAAGTGGGAAGTAGCTGGTGGGCCTGGGGGGCTTCCTGGAGGCAGCTGAGCACCGGCCCATCCGACAGGCAGAGCCCAAGGCCAGGCACAGCCGTGGGAAGGCTCTGCACAGAGCCCCAGCACAAGCCCTGGCAGGAGAGAGGGCCTTGGCGTGGCCAGCCCGGCCAGCGGGGTGGGAGAGATGGACACCAACAGAAGGCGCAGATCCTGCCTCAGGGGGAGGGCGAGGGTGGAGGGTGCGGGAGCATCTCTGCCAGCTGCGGTTGGCAGGGCGCACGCTCATTAGGATGGCGCCGTTGACACAGCCAGAAAAGGAGGGTGGGCAGCAGGTGCAGAGACTGAGCCCCTGGGCACCTCGGTGGAAACCAGAAAGCGCGCAGCCACTGCCACACGGTGCCCTCACCCATGTGGGTCCACACAGCCCCACAGAGCGGGCTCTGGAAGGGACCTGCACACCAGCAGCCTCACCACGCCAAGGCTGGAAGCAGCGGGCCTGGCGCCCGACAGACCCGGGAGAGAAAACGTCACCTGAGTGGACGCGGTGGCCACGGCTGGAATCCCAGGCGGAGGCAGGGGGATCACAAGTTTGGGACCAGCCTCAGCAACTCAGCAATTTAACTCAACATTTAAACAGGTGGAACGGGGCGCTGTGGTGGTGTGCGCCTGAAGCCCTGCTCTGGGGAGGCTGAGCAGGGGATGGCAAGTTACTGAGACAGTTTCCAATTTAGGATGGTTTTTAAAGGTCGGGGAGGTAACGGAGGGTGGAGCCCCCTGGGCCCGATCCCCAGCACCACTCAAAGAGAGTGGTGTGTACCCCCGATTGGGGAGCACTCAGCCTCACAGAGGGAATTCCCACACGGCTGCAGCGAGGACAAGCTTCCAGGATGCTGTGACTTACGCCAGACACCAAGGGCCCAGTCCCTGGGGATTCCTTTCACGTGGCGCCCCCATAGTCAGATGTACAGAAGAGAAAGGAGGACGGGCGCTGGGCCGGCAGGGGACGGGGAGCCTGGAGCTGGCAGGCGGAGACGCACCCGGTGCGTGTGGATTAGTGCACAGAGCTGCATGCCGGAAACCAGCACCATGGCAGATGCCATGCCACCCGCATTTTGCCACCAGGGTTATCCTTACAGGAAAGGGCTCTGGTCCACACTGGTCCTCAGCCACACCAGGGCTGCTGAACAAGGCGCCGGAGGGAACGGAATTCAGGGCTCACATCATGTGGCCCTGGGTCCTCTGGTCACTCTGTGTTCCTGGCAGTAGCTGCTTCAGTTCCTGCCACCACTCTTGATGCCATGAGAGTGTCTGGGCCACAGGCCAAAGTGGCACAGAGGACGGGGACCATCTCCTCCCCTTCCCCGGACACTGCCAGGGCTCCTGACCCAGCTGGTCGGCCACGGGCCAGGGGCCAGCCAGGGCTGTGTGCACAGGGCTGGGTGAAGGGCCTGCAGATGGGTGGAGCGGAGGGCGTCCGGGTCCTCACTGACAGACCTGCAGGCCGCCCAGCGGTGAGGCCTCTCTGAAACATCTTGAGGAATTCCAGCCTCTGGCCCCAGGACAGGGAGGTCACAACCACAGGCAGGCCTGCGCTCCCAGAGAGGCACCGGCTGGGAACTGAGGCTGGAGGCTGGGGTGGTGCTGCTGAGTGGCGCTGGGCTGCCCCCTGGTGGAGTGGTGGAGCTGCCGCAGCTGGAGAGCCACTTCCACCGCCCTGTCCCCAATTTCCGGCTTTAGGGTGGAGGTGCAGCACAGAGCTGGGTGCACTGGTGCCCAGAGGCAGCATGGCCTATGGTAATTGGGGAGAGACCTGCCTCTGGGGTCAGGATTCGGTTAGGGGAGCACAAAATCTTGGTGACTCCCCCGACTCTGCCCTGCTGAGGGCTCTGTCCTGGCCACCAGCAGACACCACTTCCCCCTTGTGCTTGGGCAGAGGTCAGGCCCTGGGGGGACCCAGCAGGCCAGTCCTCCCTGAAGCTCAGGGCATGCAGCACTGGGCTGTGGCCGAGGCCCTGTGCTGAGGCCCAGGGCTGCGCCGTCACTTCCTAGTTTGGGAGACGTCCTGAGCCTCCGTTTCTCCATCTGTAAATCAGGGTGATGGCCTGTCTCAGAGGAGCCCAGGCTGACACCGTGAGGAGCTGAGCAGGGAACTGTCACGTAGCAGCCACACCAGGCACCCTGACCCACAGCCGTGGGGCAGGTGGGGTGCAGGGCGGAGGTCTTAGTGGGGTCCTGGCTCTGCGCTCTGCCATGGCGCCTGAGTCAAGCCCCATGTGGGAACGCTGGTCCTGAGCAATGGACCCTTGGGCCCCGCTGGGGGAGAAGATGTGGCTTCCTTCCAGACTCTCATGTCCTACAGGCAGCCAGTGAGGACCACTGCTCCTGTGGCTAGCCACCTCCAGCAGAACCCGCCTCTTCGCAGCTCTGACGGGAGTTCAACCACCAGGGCCACTCTGCCAGGAACGAGGCCTCCCTCAGGGGCCTGGCACCTCTCTCAGCTGGGGCTGGAGCTGTCCAGAGGCCTGAACTCGCCTCCTTCCTGCTGAGACTGTGGGACGCTCAGGGGACCCCCTCAGCCAGTGCAGTCACCATCGCTGCCATCAGCCCAGTGCAGCAGAGCTGGGCTCCCAGGCCCTGACCCCGCTGGCCCTTCACGTCCAACACGGTGACAGCTCCAGCTGTGAGAAGCCCCAGCTCCGCCCTCCTGGCTCCCAATTCCCACTGCAAGGGGCTCACCCTGCAGTCAGGCCCCGGGGCAGCAGGCTAATGCCACCAGACC